GGCTATCATGTTCTGCAGCAGTTGACCATAAAACTGCCTGCGTCCTCCCACGGCTCTGCTGCGTTTATTTTTTTCTACTCTTTGTGTGAGGCAGAGGCTGAAGAGACATGACATCTCAGCCCTGATTGCTCTTTGTGTCGGCCTGTGCTGTGAAGTCAGACAGCGAAAAGAACCGTGGCTCCACGGAAATGGAGCCTCGGAAAACGTAAAACCTACTGTCTCCCAATAGTAGTGTTGCATTTCTGCAGGGTAACTTAAAGTGTGTGCGTGAGTGTGTGTGCACCCACACGTCGTGTGTGTGTGTGTGTGTGCACTACTACGTGCATGCTTTTTCTTTTCTTTTATATGATTGAGCTTGTTTGCTTTTACTACTGATCCATTTGATCTGACCTCTGACCCCACCCAGCCCCTCGGCTCCACAGCACCAGTGGGAAAACTCCACTTGCATGACCTTCAACCCTTTATGTGCTTGTTAGGGTTGTTTGAATGTAAAAGGTTGTGAACTCCATAGAATGTAGAACTTTAATTGCTGTGGTGACGGTCGCCACTGCTCTTTAGCCATTTCATAAAATGTCGTTCTGCAGGCATGAGCTGTATGATTTTTATTTATACTTTTTTAATTAATTGGTGCAAATAGCACTGTCAGCAAGCAAAAACAAAAATGGTAAATATGTTTTGGGACACCTATTTGGATTCTTTTTTTTTTTTTTGCATTGGTGTGAATATTTTGACAGCATTTGTGTTTCAAGCTTTCATTTGACTAAAACAAACCACATAATCCTGCTTGATGACTAGCTGAGCTGCCATTACAATGGCGAACAACAATATTTTGTATTTTAAAAGTTCAGTTTTGTGGATGTAGGCTTAAATTCCAAAATGCAGCCAAGTACTTTTTGTTTTTTGTTTTTTTTTGGGAATTTGTTCAACTTATCATAACCTTGAAATAATTGAAACACTACGTGGATGATTAGATATATCCAGAAAAAATAGATATCAATTTTAGGTAATTCCCAAAGTAAAGTTTTCCCCAGTAAAGTGTATAACATGGTATTCAATAAAGTAAATGGTACTTTTTCTGTTTCTGTGCTTTTTCCACGTATCTCTGTAACCACTGTTATTTTAACTGTTGCGTTTTCTTCTCATGTAACTTCCATGGATTAAAACCAAAACATCAACAAACTCAAATGTCATTACATTAGTAGATAACGACACCGTGGTCTGTCTCCATGAAGGAACGTGCAGTGGTTCGGACTGATTGAGCTTCATTTGTTACTCTCGTACAGAATGATGATTCTCATTTCACACATGGATAGTACTTTGGATCCATATGTGGCTGCTTTACTTTCAATT